AAATCTTAGAAGCAAAGCAGTAAATAGTTTTTTTTAAATATGCAAAATTGTGGGCATTTACTTTTGAAGTTACAATTTGCAACACCTATTTAAATGATGGCGCTATTGTAAGTGGTCCTAAGAGAACAGTCCAAAATGTGTACATTTTGTAAAAAATTTATTTGAAGGGGACCTATTACGCAAAACTCACTTTTATAAGGGGTTTAAACACAGTTGTGTAGCAACAGTGTGTGAATATAGCCAGCTTCTAATCGTAAAAATTAATATATTCTACACACTTGAGAAAAACAGTCTGCAGAAACACTTTAAGTGCGTTTGACTTCATGCAGGGCTGTGCAGATTGATCAAAATGCTGATGCTGCAAAAAGATTGATGCTGCACGGACGCCACATGACTTTCACATGTGGCATCAAAGTACAGTGACAGCGCTTCGAGATCAGACGATTGATTCAGCCGGTGCAGCATCTGACGAGCGACTGCAGAACCTGCGATGACACTAATATTACACGATTGGCCGAGTTTACCGCATGGCAACAACCACGTGTGTTTTGAGTTTATTATTGGACAAATTCTGTCTTACAAAATTTAAAAACAAACAATAAACTTTTTTATACCCTCTCTTTCTTGTACAGATCGTGCTTATTAAAGACTTCAAATATTTTACTGCAGTATCATCTTTTGTTAAATAATTTGTTCATAATGACTAGATTGTTTGCACAGGTTTATTCGACCTTTTTAAACAGACTATTTATTGTATTCAGCTCCATAAATGATTTAAATTATATATTTTAGTAAATAGCCTGAATATTAACTCGAGTAAGTCTAACAGACGTGTAATAAAATAATTATCATTATTGATTCTGACGCTCCTATAAAAGTTTCTTAACAAATTAAGAAAAAAAATATTTTATTAAATATAAAAACATATGATATAAAATATTATATTTCCTGTCAAGCCGTTTGTGCAGAAATGTTAAAAGTGACATTGATGTACCTGCTCTTTCTGGGAAAATTCTACTTAAATTGTAGTTCATTTATTTTGGTCCTTTTGTTCAATCTTTTTGGATTAAAGTGCTTTTTTTAAAAATGCTTTTATTATCCAAAACAACCCTATTCGTGGATATTTATTTCCTTTTTATGTGCCCTCTCGTTTCCCCCTTATTTCTCATGTGTTTGTTATATAGGTTAATTAAATTTAATTTATAATTCCTGTATTGTTAAAAAATGAACTAAAGTTTATAGAGACTATACTCTGTTTTTTTGTACTGTAAATCTTTTGTTGTATTGTTAATAAATAAATAAATAAGTGATCACGCTATGTGATCGGTCATGACTGCAGAGCCCCGAAGTGTCCGGTCTGACACTTGACAATCTTTCTCTTATAAGCACAGACAGCCTTGAATTAGAAGCAGTCGTCCAGCATAAGAGTTTTGAATTTACCGTTATGGTGACACACTCTTTTGAAAAGCAGGCTGGGAGCCTAATCTCATTTGAATTTAAAGCAACAGTGACCAAAACTGATCCAAATTTGGATCAAAGCCTAAAAGGGGCTATTTTAAAGAGTTATAAAGAAAAGTGTGGTATTTTAAGCCATAATTTCAGACTCATCATGCTTATCTTACATTTCATTTGAAAATTTCTCAATAGCATATACTACTGATAACTTTTTTTCCTTTTTTTTTGTCAGGAGTAGAATTTAAAAATCAGGCAAAAGGTTTAAATCCTGATATGTATGTTTACGTGGCAACAATCTACTTCAGAATTTACTCAAAACTACTGTAGATATGATTCAGATTCAAATTAGATGTACACAGAAAAAACATTCAAGAAATAAAGCACAGTTTCCTTCCAATGAGTCAAATAGATCAAAATCGCCACTGCCTGATAAACTGGCACCAAATGGCCTTTTTTCTAATATAATAAATGACTTCAAAAGACAAAAAAAGCAATAACCATGAGGTGGCTTTTGAAGCACAGACACTCTAGACAGTTCGGGGAAGTCATAACATCAAACCACTTTGATGACAGACTTTAGCTAATGGATTTTAGAATCAGCAAAATAACATTTCAGATGTTTTACAATATGGTATGCCATCCTATCGCACCTATTTTTTAGTCATCACATGATCTGTAAAAACTAAATCACATGACTTTTTTGATGTTCATGTTTCCATTGTAGTTTATGTGCGTTTTTACTTAACAGATAAAACATTTATATTACTCAATTGTAAGCACATAATGCACATTTATGGGCATCTTGCTATTTACATCTTTTTTCCATTGTATTTTTTTTTTGCAATATTCCAAAATACACATAAAATAGGGGGATGTAAACATAGCTAATGATAAAAAGCATGCATATTATTTCTAAATATTTCCAGTTTCAGTGTATTTGACTTCCAAAACTTCCTAAAACACAAAATAAGCAAAGAAAAAATCTACCGATATCAAACTTTTAAAATGTTGGGCATAATCTCCCTTTTTTTTGCTAGATTTTGTCTTCCTTGATTTAATGACGTCAAGATTCATATCAATTTGTTTCAATTGAAATATACTGTCAACACTAACTAATATTCTTTAATAAAAGAATCCTGCAAGTAGTCATTTACACAAGTGTCACACATGAAGATTCATGCGGCCTGCCTGCTAAAACTGTAATGAATAGTCACTGTTTACTGCGTCCAGACCCTCCGCTCGCCTAGAGAGGTGAGGAATTCAAATGAAGTAGCCAAAGGTCGTTTCTGTGGAGTTTTTGAGGTGTCCTCCAGAGTGTGTGCACAGGCCTTCTGTCAGACCCAGCACCAGTCATCGCATCTGCAGTCAGCCTGCGTCACAGACCGTCACACACACACACACACACATACACACACACACACACACACACACACATTTCCTTGGCAAGCGAGTGCTATAATCAGGGAGATCTGACCTTCACACACATCCGAACCTATTCTCACTGAATCCAACCTATTTATCATCGTTAACACACACACAGTTAAACTAGAGGATTCCAGTGTGTGATTCGGAAATCCTGAGGGATGTATTGATCCTAGAGAATCTGCACACATACTGTACTCAAACTGGCAGAAATCATTACCAGGGGCCAAACTGATGCGTTTGCTAAAGCGAATGCCCTCGTGCCCACATTGAAACTCTGGTATTTGACAAAAAGAAAAAGAAATGCGTTGATAGGGGTGTTTTTGCAGACTCCACTAATCAACCAATCCTTTTCCCTTTGGCTTCTCAGTGCAGACCTTTGCACACACATTGCTTTTGCTCTTTTTTATATTATCTTGTATCCCTAAGGACAGTTTTTATTTTTCTAATGAATTTTTTGCTGTCATGGAGCTCTAAGTATTATCTTAGTCTCTATCATAGGTGTTTCTCCTAAAACAGCTTAAGATTCATAAAAATTAGTCAGAAATAAGGCAAATGTTGAAATACATCACACTGTAAAAAATTCTTAAATTAAAAGTTGCCCATAGCTTGTGATTTACGTTTATTTATACTTTGGGTTGTATAATGGCATCCAATTAGCACCACTGACAACTTTTAATGCTGAAAATTTACTTTTGACATTTTCATTAGTTTGAAACTGTTGTATGAGATCTTATATACTGTATTTAGATACCTTTACCCAGTAGTAAATTGATATGACAAAAGTTTTTATGTATTAAGTTAATAAAGTTTTAACTAATTTCTTTTTTGTTAAACAAAATATGATTTTTAATTGGTTTGACTTATGTAACTTGTGATGACTAGTTAATTTCATTCAGCTAAATATATTTTTATAGTGCACATTAAATAACCCCCTTTGTAGTTGATGCTTTGAAACGTAAAGAAAGTAATGGCAGCTCAGGTAAAGTTCCCATAGAGCAATTCATGAGCTACAGGCAGCAGATTTTTGAATTATTATTTCTTGTGACAGCATATAATCCTTGTTTTTTGCAATGTTTTATTGGTACCTTTATTTAGAAAGCATGCATTAAATTAAACTCATTTGTAATGTAAGATTTTATTTATCCTATTCTCTCACACCAGAGTGTGTTTTATTTAAGTACTGTGCATAAACATGTAAATACAAAAAAACTGACAGTTACAATACTATTTACAACATTTAACCATACTGTATTTTAATGCTTCTATAATGCTATTTTAATGGACTAGTTTTGTTTTGGAATTGAAGACCAAGTGTAAACCAAGAGGCAACAGCCCGCTCTCCCAATACAGAAGTAACTGAAACTGCAATTCATCAAAACTCGGCTAGGCCTGGCTCTATGATAGAGCACATTTCTATTGACCCCACTGTTAAAATGGCCAACTTTACAGCAGAAAACGTGTTTACAGCCTGGTACAAAGAACGATTTTGGTGTATAAAGCTAATGTTAGACTTCAAGATAACTGTAAAGGGGGTCAATTCTTTTTAATAACTCATCCGTTTTGTTTATATTAAGTTACATTAAGTCTGCATAATTAAGGGTGTGGCCACTTGAATGACAGCTAGGTCTTATTGGTCGCCGTCACTTCCCCTCAGCTGATTCTGGCTGATTAGCTGCTGAACTCTGCATATACATCGTACTTTTGTTTTGTTTTATGTGGCTTTACACAGTCAGTTGTGTTTTAGAGTTATTTCTTACATTTATCAGACAATATGGCATGCTGTGTGCACTTATTTGTGCTCACAAACCATTCAAGTGGCCTCCATTTTCCTGGTGATGGAAATACTTATACCATCTCTATAAATGCATTTGTTTATTTAATATAATTTATCATTTATAATTTTCTTTAGACCTGTATTGCACTCTAGAATCTGACAAATTGATTAGCTGTAGGCTCTAGAATAGTCATCTGCCATACAGTGTTATGTCTGGATTTCATAAATTGTCTTGCATATACTAACAAAGACTACATTTGAAGTCTTTGGAAGTAATTTGTGCTTTCCTCCTGTAGAAAAATGTCATAGGAACAATGCTTAGTGACTCAATGTATTACAACAGTGCTTTTAAAAGTCTAAACACTTTATTGATATTGTATACAACCCAGCGCAAGTGGTCAGAACATAAACAAGTCACAGGTAATGAAGTATTAAGTGTTTCTCCCAAAGAAAAACCCATTTAAGCAAAATGCTAGCAGGTGTCTGTAGCTCCGCTCAAGCTCTGTTTCTTTGTCCTTTTTCGCTTACTCCTGGTTGGTGCGATGATGTGCAAACAAAATGGCAACGGTTGGCCACTGCCACTTGTAGCATCATTTGCGCTCTTCATGAAACCTATGGATGACATCAAGGATACTACGACCAGATTTTTTACAGTCTATGGTGTGAAGACACCCAAAAAAAAATTTCAGCTCTAAAATCATACTTTTAATCACATGAACAAGTACAGAACACCTCTTCTGAATCTTTAGATGAGACTTATTTGAGTCATTAAACTAATCAATCATTTGGTTTCCATTTAATATCCCTGTTGTCTAACAAAAACAATCAAAGACAGATTGCATCTTTTATTTACCTTTTTGGCAAATCTTTTTGTGTGCTGTTGCTCTGAGATGATTAAAATGGGTCACACGGTAATCCAAAGACTTGATGTGGCCAATAAACAGTGGAAAAAAAAACACGATGACAAATTCCCCTTGCTTTCGGAGAAGTTTAAACACACTTACCCTGATGGATTATCCACCTTGAGAAAAGCCTGGATGACCAGCGGAAACTCATACTTTACTATGTACAAGTAGCTGGACATGGCTGTGAGAAGAAAGAGAGACAGGCTGTGAGATTCACGCACACACACACACACACACACACACACACACACACACACACACACACACACACACACACACACACACAACAGTAAACACCCTAATCCAGGACGCATTGGTCTACACCAGGGGATTGTGGTTATTATCCTGGAAGCAAATGTCACAGTAATGAAGAGAATCCGTTCTATATTTAGTTTCATAAACATGCACCAAACGCCAAAAAGCTCAAGGTCTTTTTCCATGACTGCAAAGTAAATCACAGTTCATATGACAAAAAACTTAAAAAATTAAATGTTAAACATTAAAAAGAAAAGTATTAAATTATAAAATATAATAATAATAATAATAATAATAATAATAATAATAATAATAATGCTATAAAATAGACTGAAAGAGACTGTAATTTTTTGTCAATTTTAAGTATTTAGTAAAGTAATTATTGCAGTAATAAATTTAAGTAAAAGTAATTACAAAATAATTACAATTAATTAATTTGTAATTTTTTTACAATAAATTAATTACAGAATAATTACAAGTAAAGTTTGACGTAAAATGACTGACATAAAATTTGTTATTTTGTTCTCCATTTCCTGGAGAAGAGTCATGCAGTTGTAGGGTTTGCCATCATACACTTTACAGCAATAAGGTTCAGAAGAATTCCTCTATTCTTTTTTAGAGGAATTTAGGATTTAGAAAAGGTAAATATGCGCTAGGTACAAAACTACAACTTGTGAATGGGTGGCAAACTAGTTTTTTTTTTTTTTTTTTTTGGACCAGAACATCCTGGTGCTCCATCACCTTTGCTCTCTATACTTCTATACTAGAGTAAAGCAGTGATTGGTTAGTGATTAGTTAAGAAATTAATGTAAGCACATGTGAGGAGTGTGTGTGTGATCTGCTGGATAAGTGCTGCATTTTAATTGATTGTGTTTGAAAAATAAAAGCAAGTAGCATCCTGTTAGATTTTTGTGTTGTAGGTAAATAATTGTGTGAAGTGTTTTGAAAAAGTGCTTTCTGCTATTGAAAAGTCCAAGGCTGAGAAATAGCTCCTGGTTTTGGAGATTTGGAGTGTAGTTTTGCATTTTGAGGGAGATATTTCAGAAATCGCATGACAAGAAAAGATTTTGTGTGTAAGAAGTTGGAAAAAAAACTGTAAAATAGTAATTAAAACATTAACATAAGTTTATGTGTAAAGTGAATGAAACAAAATGTAACAGCATGCCAAATAACATTGAAGTTAGGTTGAATTTAACATGAAATTTGACATATTTTACTGGACATCTGCAAACTTTAAATAAATGAAAGCTACATTATTGTTACTTGATATATATGTATGTGCATTAGTAAACAAGACTGGAATCGTTTTATGTAAAAAAAAAAAATCATGCAATTTTAGGTTGACAGAACTTTAGATTTTAATTCATTTGGTGTTCTAATTTTTTAAAGTGTAAGACATTGAGTTAACTTGCATAATTAAGTATACATGACTAAGGTTTCTTTTTCATTTTACAAACAGCTTTAAGCTTAATATATTTAAAATGAATGATTTAAAAATGATGCATATACCGTATATTTTAAGTAAATACAACACAATTTTACTAGTGTACTTGCACATACACTCATACACTGTTTATAAACATTTTAAGAAAAAAAAACAATTAAATGCTAATTAATTATGCTAAATATATAATTTATGCTAAAACGAGATTGTAATATTAACATAAATGTGTGCTGAGATAAAGTGCAGCCTGAGAAAATGAGGACAACACAGAGGAAGGGGAGGAAAGGTTACTGTGAGAATGAAGGAATAAAAAATAACAGAGCAATGACCTACAGTGTAAATGAGAAACATGACATTGCGATCCATCTAAGTCCAGTCAGTTTCTCTGTTGAGCTGTATAGGTGTGCTTTGCCCTTGACGGGGGTCACAAAACAATACATTGTGTCTCCTGAGATGTAACTGTTTGACAGTGCCTCACCTCCAATGTTCTGCAGGGTAATCGCAATGCCGGCTGCCATCTTGCCTGGTGTGCCGAAGGCTCGGTAGCCCAGTTGTTCATAAGCTCTAATGCCTGACAACAAAACAAAAAGAGGTTAATGAACACACTACAAAACACAGCAATATGATAAAAGACATAAATAAAATATAATATTTCCTTTAAGGTATTAATATTATTTTATTGATATTAAATAGTGTTAATAATATCCATTCATTTAAAATAGTTTAGGATTGTAATAATAATCAAAAATACAAGAATTAGTAATGATAAATATTTCTGACAAAAATAATATCAAATATAAAATGCATAATTTTGTCTAATTTAGTTTCTTTGACAAATTGCTGAAGACATAAATAAAATATAAAGTCTCTTTATCTTATAATATTTACTTATTCATTTTCCTTTTGACTTAGTCCCTTAATTAATCAGGGGTCGCCATAGCAGAATGAACCGCCAACTTATCCAGCATGTGTTTTACACAGCAAATGCCCTTCCAACATTGGGAAACACCCACACACTATCGCAAACACTAAGGCCAATTTAGCTTATTCAATTCACCTATGTCGCTTGTCTTTGGACTGTGGGGAAACCGGAGCACCCGGAGGAAACCCACACAAACACGGGGAAAACATGCAAACTCATCACAGAAATGCTAATTGACCCAGCCGGGGCTTGAACAAGCAACCTTTTTGCTTTGAGGCGATTGTGTTACCCATTGTGCCACCGTGCTGCTCCTGAACATTATTGTTTATACTATTAATATTTAATAGTGTTAATAATATCTATTGATTTCAAATAATATATGATCGTAATATAATCAAAAATACTTGTAATTAGTGGTATAAAATATTTCTGACAAGAAAAACATAAAAATATATTGCATTATTCTTTTTACAAATTTTGTTATTGTTGTTTTTTATAAAATAATCATTACAACAATATATAATTAAATAATAAAGCATTTTACACTTAAGTTGAGGTCAAAATTATAAGCTTTCCTGAGTTATTAGCCCCCCTGTTTATTTTTTTCAACAGAGAGAAGATTTTTCCAACACATTTCTAAACATAATCGTTTTAATAACTCATTTTTAATAACTGATTTATTTTATCGTTGCCATGGTGACAGTAAATAATATTTGACTAGATATTTTTCAAGATACTGGTATTCAGATTAAAGTGACATTTAAAGGCTTAACTAAGTTAATTCGGTTAACAAGACAGGTTAGGGTAATTAGGAAAGTTATTGTATAACGATGGTTTGTTTTGCTGACTATCGAAAAAATATACCTTACAGTTGCTAATAATATTGACTTTAAAATGGTGTTAAAAAATGTAAAGCCGCTTTTATTCTAGCCAAAATAAAATAAATAAGACTTTCTCCAGAAGAAAAATATTATCAGACATACTGTGAAAATTTCCCTGCCCTGTTAAACATCATTTGAGAAATATTTAAAAAAGAAAAAAACAATTCAAAGGGGGGCTAATAATTCTGACTTCAACTAGAAATAAGAATAATTTCATTTCTTTGCATTTGCACTTTGTATTTATACTGTATTTATTTATCTAAGAATTATTATAAAACATTTCAGTTACATATAATTTATTTAAACGCTTTATAATTTTGTATAAATTTTAATATACAGCAATAAGATAAATATGCTAATACAAAAGTACAGATTTTTCTTAATAAAAATAATAACAGAATTGACAACAATAACAATTGACAACTAATATAGTCCTATACTATATAAAAATATGGTGAGTAAGGAAAGAAAAAGTATTCACCCCTTTCCTCAGAAAAATATTTCTGAAGGTGCGGTTGACTTGAAATTTTCAACAGATGTTGGTAACAACCAAAGAAATCCATATTTGCAAAGAAGACAAATCTAATTAGTTTACAAATTAAGTTATGTGCAGTAAATTTAAATGACACAGGGAAAAAGTACTAAACAAATGAAAAAAAGGAGGTGTAGAAAGGCAGTGAAAGACAGCAGCGGAAATCTCTCTGTAGTTCTTCAGCAACCCTCTGTCCTTGTTCAGTGTAAAAAAAATGTTAGCTGTTTCAGTCCAACATCTACATTAGCAGGAGGATGAAGATGAAACCAGAGTGGACATTTCAGCAAGAAAATGATCCAAAACACAGCCAAGGAAACTCCCAAATGCTTTCAGAGAAAGAAAATCAAGCTGTAGAATGGCCCAGCCAATACACCTGACTTACATCCAATGGAAAATACAAAATACAGATCAAATTTAATACACGAGACCCACAGAACCAACAAGATTATTACACTCTGTTGAAGTCTGTGAAAACTCACACCTGAGCAAGTCATGTGACTTTATTCTCCATATGAGAGGTGTCTTTAAGCTCCCATAACCAAAAAGCCTTTTATATAAAGTATTAAATACATTTCAGTAGCTCAGCACTTTCTCCTTGTGTCATTTTTAGCTATTACACATATTTTGTTCAGGATATTATTTGTTTTGTTTTGTTATGTTTGTATTGTTTGGGTTTTTACCAATATCTGGTTCAATTTCATGTCAACAATCCTTAGAAATATTATTCCCAAAAAGAAAAATCATGATGTGTTCAATACTTATGTTCCCCACTGTATATATACTTTACATAATACAGTCATTTTAACCGATTATGATTAAACTCTATTACAAAGCATCATTACTAAATGGCTGTCATTAAGCAACTATCATTTCATTTTTCAAGGTGACCATATGTTAAATATGCATTTGCGGTGACAATGTAACCGTGGGCTTATCGTTGATACAGCGCTGACAATGACAGCCACAATTGATCAAGCGCAGCAGAAGCTTGGCTATTTTTAGCCTAATGCACACCAGAAATATTCTGGCCAATTAAAATCCCTCACAGAGGAGTGAGGCAGATGGTCACCGAGCCAAAAGAGAGAGTAATGTCACATCAGTTAACACCTCCATCTATATCAGCTCTTTATTTTAGCTCAGGGCAGCAGGTCAAACAGTTTTTTTTCTTTTCAAAATCATAATAAATTACAGAGGAGAGCTAGAAATTGGTTTCGGGTCAATGTAATAAAATACTCACCCACAACGCCTGAAGATTTTAGCAGCAGGTGAATGGAGTATGCAGACAGGCCAGCAACAACAGTAAGAAGAATTCTGAAAGACAAAAGAAATACAAATGTGTTATAGCAAAGACATTGGACTATTTCAATGTAGGGATGTCATTGGCCCGTAAACATTTCTTGCTTATTGTCAAACTATTGCATAATTGTAACAAGAGTCAATTCAATTGTCCCCCTCCCCTCTCCCCAGATGACCTGCACTTACGCTGCATCTTTACCTTCTGAGCCAGAGCATGCTTACGCCATCGATACCAGCTCTTGCTCAGCACAGTGAACGTTGCTTTAGTTATATTGTTTTTTTATTATTTTAAGTTGTTTAACATGCAGTGACATGCAGTCAAATATTTTGCGGAACAGATCCAACACTTAACACCCGCCAACCCGCCTAATGCAGGTAGATTTCAGCTCTGGCGGGTAAGACAGCCGCTCCAGCTAGCCATTTTGGCTGATCAGATATAATTTTTAAATCGAAATTTTCTTGAAGCAGGGTTCGACAAAAAGGATGGCCCAATATGCGCGCAAATGTGATCTTAGAATCGAGAAGCAGCATGAGTGACTAAAATAACAGTGTTCAAGCAAGGCTGTTAAAAAGCGCACACGCTCCCGTTTACTTGCACGAAACAACTGTGTGTAGAGGAAACGCAACTGGTGCGATCGGTTCTTTTTGAAATAGATAAATAGACAAAAGCGATGCTTGTGTACCCACAGTCCTGCTGCTTTCTAGAGCTCAAGATTGAAAAGAATTATATATCTATCTATCTATCTATCTATCTATCTATCTATCTATCTATCTATCTATATATATATATATTCTTTTGTAAGCAGCAGCAGTCTATGCTTTCGTTTAAATTATTGTTTGAACAGATTATTAACCGGCCTAACATTAGCCGTGTGCACGTGATCATCCTTTCATTATCACACATGGTATGTTTTTACCTGCTTTCTTTTGCTTGCAGTTATTTTTGTTAATATAGTTTAATTATCATCCTTTACAATAACATTTCTTTAATATGCAATTAACTCCCCCATATGGTAATAAAGTTACCATTTATGTGTAGTAACTGCTGATCTGGGACCTTTAGCCAGGACAGATTACTGTGCATATTTTAGATACATGACTATAGATCTTTTTAAATGTCAATTTAAAAAAAAAAGAAATGTTTTGTTGAATAAAACGTACATGTATGCTGCTATATTTAGCTTGTTTTGACACATTTAAAATGTGTGGCTAAGAAATAAATATTTCTTTTTGGTGTGGTCAGAAATAAATTTGGTAAATCCTTAATTCTGAGCCCTAAAAAGTTATGCGAGATAAAAGCTGATTGCAATGCGACACAACCCATTTGCTCATGCACATCTTGCAAGCTCATACACAACACAGACAAAAAGTGAAATGAATGAGGAGGCATGTGGACAACACAACATCTAAATCAAGTCATTTTAGCTTGTCAAAGTCACATTTATTCATATAAAAAATATTTTCCAAACATCAAAAGTGTGGCTAGTGAAAATGGCAAGCTACTAGTACTGTTGGAAAGCTACAAGCCACAGTGGCTGGTGATCAAAAAAGGTTATGTCAAGCCCTGATTAGGAGGTTTGCTAAAGGTGGCAGCTGACGTACAGCGAGAGGTTTGCATCTTTTATAAACTATGACAGTTCGTGTTCATTGCAAGAAGGTCGCTGGTTCAAGTCCCAGCTAGACCAGTTGGCATTTCTGTGTGGAGTCATGCAATATAGGGGAATTGGCTGAACTAAATTGGCTGTAGCGTTTGAGTGTGTGAATGCAAGAGTATATTTGTGTTTCCGAGTACATACACATAAAACCCAAATGCTGGAGCCAGGATCACTTCCCAAAAGTCATTACAATTTAAACGTTATCTACACTTATGTTAGTCTGTTTTTTATTATTCCGAGGTTGCCATAATCCTAGACCAGGCCGTATCCTGAGCAGATTCTGTGGAAGTCATGAAAGAGTGGAGAGCATGAGACTGATTCCTGAAAGACTCTAGTGACAGACAAGTCTCCACATTGATCCTGGTGACCTACTCATGCCTGTAGCATCTCCACGATGGGAGTCCAGCGTTTTTCAGCCCGCCTAGACTGCAGGTCTGTACAGGAAGTTTGGCCAAAGGAGAAATGGTTGTGCCAAACTAAGCCTGGTTTCTCTCAAGGTTTTTTCCTTCACTTTCATCATTTAGTGAAGTTTTGCCACTGTTACCACTGCCTTGCTTGGTTTGGGACTTGTGGAGCTGAGCATCGATGAATTTGCTCTTTAGTGTTTGGCCTTTCAGCAGTGAAAATTAAACCACATTGAACTGAACTAAACTGAACTTAAACTCTGAAAACTGGACTGACACAGTTTCAAATCACAAGAACTTCTGTGAATTGAATTGAATTATTGGGTTGCCGCTGGAAGGGCATCCGCTGCATAAAACATATGCCAGAATATAAGGGATTAAACTGAACGAAATGAATAATAATAATAACAATAATAATATTAATAATAAATTTATAATAATTTTAACAACAACAACAATAATAATAATAATAATAATAATATGAATAATATGAATAATATAAATAATGAGAATAAAAATACATGTCAAAATAAAAAGTGTATATAATAATAATATCTTTAAAATCATAAAAAACAGTATGAGGAAAGATTATAATAATAATAATAATAATAATAATAATAATAATAATAATAATAATAATAATAATAACAACAACAAAAACAATAATATTAATAATAATTTTATCTAGCAATTAAACAAATTTTGACTGTATATCTATATAATATATAAAAATACAGTCTCAGGCCCAATGATAAGAGTTGAAAAAAAGTTATATGGAAGATGGAAAAATACTAGACAGTGTAATCACCGGCCGTTCACAGATAAACCATAAACGCAACGGCACCCTCCAGCTGCCAACATCTGGACAAACATCTCAAGCTGGGAAGCCGAAACACGCTCTACTGAATCTTTAGCCTGCATTCAAAAGTCCTGTTTAGTCCCATTGCCTAGTTCCAGAATGTCTTGGCATTTGTACTGACCAGGCTCAACCGTTCTCTGCCAAGCACTCGGTTTCAACTCAGCACTTTCTCACGTTTTCCCCCTTTCCTTCTTTTTTCCTAAATGACGTTTCAGGAGAAGTCAACGAGTGCAGTTCTGCTGGAAACACCAGGGCCCTGACTTAAACAGATATTCAGCATCAAATAAACCCTCCCCAGCTTTGACTAACATTCCAGTCATTTTTATAAAAGTGGAATACAACTAGTACAGCTAATCACCCGCGTTTAATAACAAATTACGCTAGAGGAGGGAGCATTACGGGATTAAAAAGCTTTGGAAAAATCTAAAAAGAATGAGACAGAACATGTGATTTGATCAGCAGCTGCAGTATATTAGTGGATGCAGCTGGCTTGAATGAGGACACTATGCAATCAGTTTAGCATCTTATCACTTTCTGCAACTAATAATTGTGATTAGATATGAGTTTGTCCAAACAAAGGACACAGTACAGTTCCTTATTTAGAAATAGCTCCAGTAAGACTTGCTTTGTTGTAAAAATGCATCATTTTCTTTAGCATTACATGCATTCTAAGAAAGAGATTTTTTTATTGCTTATTTATATTAACCCATAATCCAACACGTACGTCAGTGCACAAATTAAGAGTTTTGACTATTAAGTAATAATTAAGTAGCATCATTGCATTGTACTGTGTTTTTTAATAAAGACAAATTCTCTTTAAAGTTAATACATTTAAAAATGTCTTGCTGTTGAAGTGTGGTTACAGAAAATTGAGGCTTTCAAAAATTATGACTCATATCAAATTAATTAAATTCATTTCTTAACTTAATTAATTATTTATTTATTAAATTAAATCAATTAATTAACTTAGATGGAATTTGAAAACAGCTGTGTTGCTAAGGCCATGTCCACACTAATATGCTTTCATTTAAATACGCATATTTTTCTCTCCGTTTTGACTTTCCATCCACACAGAGACTGTGTTTTTTTAGGAAACATATCTTTTTGAAAAGTGGATAAATTTGAAAATGCTGTTTTTATGTTGCAGTGTGGGCTATGAAAATGAATGCTTTCCAAAACTATGGCAAATTTTAGTCATGTGACTAATTCAACTAACATGGTGGATGACATTATAAAGCAGATATTTTAATAAAAATAATAATAATAATTAATAATGTATGTTTTGAAAGCTTTCTTAAAGATTAATGTCAGCTAAATACTCCATATTGCCTCTCTTTAAAGAACATGGAATGCTTACTGGGAGCTGTTGTTTAGTTTCCGACTAATTAAGACAATTTGCTGCGCCCTTTTAAAGAGATGGAAAGTAAATAAACGGCAGGCGGACATGACACAGGTAAAACTGTCTGACATCTGAGCACATACGCAATACATGGACAAAAGCATTTTAGGTCTTTTTAGTGTGGATGAAGGCAAGAATTGAAAACAATAGTGTGGACATGGACCATTTTTTAGACGAAAACTAATTTATCCATTCATCCGGATTAGTGTAGATTTAGCTGGAATATTTTCGTGGAAACTGGAATATTGAGTAGTTTTTTTTCCTCAGAATTCTAAAAACAGCTTTATTTGAAATGTAAATCTTCTGTAACATTCTAAAACTATACAGCCACGTTTAATTTATATAATCAAAATCTGAATAAATCTAAATAAAAAATTCCAAAATAAAAAACTTACTAACCCCAAAGTTTTAAAATGGTACTCTAACTAAAATATCTACACTACCTGACAAAAGTCTTGTCGTCGATCCCAGTTGTAAGAGCAACAAATAATAACCTAGTTGATCATTTGTGGCAGAAGGTTGTTTTTTTGATGAATCATCTGTTGAATCAGCCTCCATATCAAAGTTCCTAAAAGCAAAAAAGATCAAGGTGCTCCAGGATAGGCCAGCCCAGTCACAAGATATAAACATTATTGAGCATATCTGGGGTAAGATGGAGAATACTTCATGATCAACTAGAAGTCAAGTTATTATTTGTT